ACACCCACACCCACACCCACACCCACCCACACCCACACCCACACCCAGCGTGAGCGATAAGATAACGCTTAAGATGTTAACAAAATACTGAGACCCTCTTTTATTACGAGCTACCCGTTAGTTTCATATTATAAACATACTTTCTGCTTTTCGGACTTCAAAAGTTGGCAACACTAAATCTGTCAATATTAGAAATTTTCTTTATGAATATTTAAAGTAGACATCTTAGTCGACATGTCTGTAATCTTATCTCAAAAATCTTTTTCTTGACGAAAATCAACTTTTCTGAGTGGGAAAATGTAGTCGCCACTGAAGAGCTTATTGATTCAAACCATCAGTCGCTGCTGCCGTTCAACCCTTCGGCTTACACCTCTAATAGCAGACCTCTACCTTGTTGCTATCGAAAGTAATTCAGAAAATAACCACCCGTCTTATATTCTGGCGTCGATATTAGTTTCAGTAGAGAACTGAAACTTTTATAAAATAAAGATCTTATTTAGATATTGTATGTGTTAGAAGTTTTATCCGTTTATATCAAACAAAAGCTATGAAGAGTGTCATTCACAATTTATCCCCAGTTATTATACGGCACCCTTTTAAGGATTGCGCTCATAGATTTTTATTACGAAAAGAGTAAAAAAAAACAATTAAATCAATCAATCGATCTTTTAACCCATCCAAATATTAACCATTATCTTATCGGAACTTCTAAAGCATCGATCACTGGGCATTTTGATGTTTCGTCGCTACTTTTCATTTCGGACATCCGATGTCGTAGTCCGTTTCGAACATCCGTTTTCTTCAAAAATCATCATTTTTATAATAAAAACATCGGATGTTCGGAATTAGAAAAATACGGATATTCGGAACGATCGTCGAAAAATAAACGGATGTTCGTAAAAAAAACTACTGGATGTTCGTAATGATAATATAGGGATGTTCGGAACAACAATAAAATGGATGTTTGTAAAAATTCACAACGGGAGTTCGGAATAGAAAAGAAGGGATGTTCGGAACGGATATGAGCTACTTTTAGTGCAACACTTTAGTTTCAGTTAACCTATGTTTGGAACGGTCTTCCTGTCACAGCACAGTATACAGTATGTTAGACATAGTCACAGATGTAAAGTGTGTACTGAAATACAAACTTCTATTCACTCTTATTCGAAGGTGGTTCGGCAAGGAATATTTCGCTATCAAAACTCCCTGACCTGTCAACCTGCTTCATCTTTTTATTATGAGAGATAAATGAGGTTTATTGAACAAAAAACAATACTCACAGATAGAAAGACAAACTCTTAAGAAAAACAATGGCACAAAGATAGAGAGACATTTCATTAATAAATAAATAACAAAAACAGTAAATATCTATCACTTCTTGACTGATATTATTGTTTTTTACGAGTTTTTGCTCTCGAGACTATGAGGCCTCTTCTCCTTCGTCTACCAATCTATATCGAAGTCTGTTTTGCACACTATTTATTTTGTCTCGAATATACCTATGCTTGCGTTCCAAACACCCGGTAGTTTCTCTTTCGAACATCCATCTTTCGTAACTCTGCCATATGATATAATTCATTCCGAACATCGATTCTCTATCGTACGAACATACATTTCATTAATTACGGACATCCGTTAGATTTTTTTCCGAACATCCATTGGAGGACTAAAATGTCAATTCCGAACATCCGTTCTTTATCTTACGAACATCCGTTTTTATTGGTTACGGACATCCGTTAAATTTTTTTCCGAACATCTATTGACAGACTAAATGTCAATTCCGAACATCCGGTGTCAAATACGGATGTTCGGAATGATAGCGACGAAACGTCCGGAGGCCGATCATTGTCTATATCATAATTTACATTTAGTTTTGTTAATTCATTTTTAATCCAAGTTAAAACAGTTTTACGATTATCTGATGTTTTCACAAAAATTGTCGCATACGCTAATTTTGGTAGCTGATTCAACACAAATAAAAATTCAGTTTTTTTATCAATATAACATCGAAGGTCCTTAATGTTGGAAAATGTTTTACAAAACTTTCTTAATTCACCATAATTATTGAATGCCGATGTAGGATGATCGCTGTCATCATATAAATCTAATTTTTTAATCATTTTATTTAAATATTTGCACAATTTATCATCATTACAAAACGATATTAATTGTTTTTGATCAATAGTTATTGTTGATAATTGAGGTGCTTCTTTTAATATTTGTAATAATACGGATGATGTTTCTATTTTACTTCTAAATTCAACTTTTAAATAATTCAAGTTAGACAAACTAATCATTCTTTTCAGCATTTCAATATGCTTTATTTTTAAAGGATTATTTTCTTCGAAACTTACAGTACTTAACTCGAACGAAATTATATTTCTAAAATAAGATTGACATTTTTGTTCTATTTCTTGTTGTTGCAATGTTAAATCTGTTGCATTGCCGAATGTGATTGAATTAAAACCAATATACCCATTGGTATTCATTATTAATCGGTCCTTATTTTATGTATAAGATGTCGTATAAATAAATATTGAATATTTTGTTAATAAACATTCAGTATACCAATGATGTTGTTTATGCCAAAAATCATTTTGAAATCGTTCAAACATATTAGTAATGTCATTATCAAAACTTTTACGATCGCATCCGAATTGGAATTTGAAGATCTTTAAGTAAGGTAATGAAGATAAAACCAAATGTTCTCATTGACACGCATCAAACATATGCGGCATATTTTTGCAGATAGTGTTAAACTTTTTAGATTGGGTGTTGCTTCTAAAAGCTTTTGAAATGTCACAAATGGAATCTGTAAGTCATCAACAATCAACTGTTTTAAATGAACACCACACGTCTTTTTATAACGTGCTTTCTTCTGATATGATTTAAACATATAAAGACAATGTTGAACATGTAAATATTTTAACATTGGCATATATTCCATCAATGCACACAAATCAAAAACTTCACTAGATAATAATGTGAAACTTGTAATTGATAAGAATATCTCGACCCATGTTGGTAAAACTACTAATGTGTCTGCAGATAATGTTCTTACTTTAGACGTTGTTAGAGGAACTAATGCATCAGCCTCTATATTTTCAGAATCGAACAAATGAAGAGAATATAATTCTGGTATAGATGATATCATTGATTTCAATTGTCCTATATTTTCGTATGCAACTTGAGTCGGTGTTAATGATCGAAGATTAGGAAATTCATCGATTGAAAATAATGGTAGAAATGCGTCGATTTGGCCATGTGAACCTTTATTCGATAAATGCATGGAATAAATTTGGCTTTTAATGTGTGGTTCTAATAACATTTTTTTACAAAATCGATCAAATATTGACTTTTGAATATGATGAAAATTGAGGTGTAATTTAATATTTCGAATAAGTTTATAAAAACGATAATTCAATCGATCAAATGCATGAAAAATTTCAGATGCACTAAGATATGCAAAGCAGTCCATTAAAATCTCATTTGGTATTAATTCAAATCTCATCACAGCTAATATTTTACTCATAGTAAAAAGAAACAAACACTTTCGAGCAACATGTTTTTTTTTACCTTTCAATATCAAAGCAAACTTTATGAGTTGTTAGTATGTTGTCATATATTTTTATGAGTGACAAGATAGATAAGGTTTTGTGTGATGAAAAGCACGAATATTTATTTTCTTTTTCGTTTCTAAATCTCATGTAAGTGTTTTGAAAACTAGGAAGTCTGCACAGAAATTATATTCTCTATTCAGAATTAGAGAAAGTGATAGCCTTGGTTTGCCATTCAGGTGTGGGTGTCGATCTTCTATTCACCCACACCCACATCCTCTTTGGTTTGTTATGCATCTACATTGAATCTAACTAAATGTGAATTCATAAACAGTAACTTTGCTAGCACTTAGATAAGACTCGAATTTACGTGTATTGATGCAATTCGGGATGAGATCAATGAATTTTCGTGAGCTAAACACTTTTTGTTCAGTAGAAAATAGCTCAAAGCAGTTTTCGAATTTTGGCTCATATTTTTACATGATATGGAAAAGTGCCTTAAACTTTTTTCCGCTACTTTATATACTGTACCTCTATTAGGTATAAAAAGAGAAGATTTATACCAGTGAGAAGTTTAGTTTAAATAATGGATATTTAGACAGGGAATAACAAATGAAAAGATAACGAATAATTAAATAGCAATTGAGAAAGAGTATTAGATTATTAGAATTATTTTTTTTGTAATTTTGTTGAATTGATTTAAATCTGTTGATACCCATGAAAAAGAAATGTATACAAAAACGCGTTCCAACGCAAACTTTTAGAGAAAAAACGCTACTTTACTTTGAGTAAAGATGCCGTTATATGGCATAAAAGTTTGCTGCTATTCAGAAAAACATTTTGCGGGATCACATTCGGCAATAAATTGCTGAAATACGTCAATTTTAGAGATGAATTTTCTGACTATAGCAGATCAAAATGTACTTCAATTAGTGTTTTGTGTGATCGCGAATTTCACGATCACGGCCACGATCACGCGTGATCGTGCGTGATTGAGAACTTTTTCCGTCGTCGTGATCGTGCGTGATTGAAAAATTTCTTTGTCGTCGTGATCGTGATCGTGAGGGTGAGTATGGGTGTGGGTGTGGGTATTGTCTTCATCCACACCCACACCCACACCCACACCCACGCTCACACTCATCTCACCATTAGTATCTTCATTAAGTATTGATCATTTTCCATCGAACGGACATTTTTGTAGGAGAATTTCTGCGGAACATGTTGGTTATAAAGGACATTTTTTTCGGAGGACTATTTCCCAGGGACATTTTATGTGGAGGACATTTTATACGAAGGACTTTTTCTCAAGGACCAAAATCTAGGGAGATTTCATCAAGGACATTTTTGCAAGGACATTTTTGCAAGGACATTCTTGACTGTATTCATTTTTTTCTATTATTTTCTTTGCTTATCTGTGTAGGTGCTTTATTTTTATTTTAACGTTCTCGTCGTCGTTGCTTTTTATAGAGCTTGCGTCAATATCGAATAAGTCAAATTTGAAGTTTTTATTTTATTGTTAAGTGCTATGTACACAATCTTCTGAGTAACTTGTTTTTCTTCCGCGGAAAAAGGGTTCTTTCAGATGAATACCTATAGTGTTTTCAAACGAACGCCATTCTTCCATTGAATTGATTACAAACAGTGCGAATGGGGTGTGGAGTTAGCAAGCATAGTGGAGCTATCAAAATTATTCCCGCTGACGTCTCTAAAACACGTTCGGTGTCTTTCCAAGATAAAAATGGCACTATACATCAAGAACCTGTTCCTTCTGTTGTATCAACTAGACAGCCAGTGGTTACTAAAGCAGGCGACTCAAGAGCACGTTTATCACCTGTGACTGTTGATGAAGAAAGCATATATCAGGAAAATGTACCTATTAACAAATTTGGGGCACTGGTGAAGGCAGCGTCTACTTCAGGCAGTGATTCGATGCAAGATGTTAGACATATATTCACCAATAACACTTTAGATGATCATTCTTCAAAACAAAGGAACTCTGAAACATCCAGCAAACGTTCAATATCTATCAGTAATGAAATAACAGAAAACAATCATCATGAACAGGTATTTGATGATGACGGCATTTCTCGGTCAAGTACGTTATCTGTTGAAATAACTGCAATCAAAAATCATATTGCTACTGATGATCAAGTCGATGCGAAGACAACAGATTCGACAGACCACCAAATACCTATTAGGATGGATAACTCGGTGAGACGGTTGGTATCACCAATCACAGCGGATAATATCGCTGAAGACCAACTTTCAGAACGAATTCATTCTAATACACCCAACAAGCGGCCATCGTCTTCTTGCAAAAACGAAAACCGAAACGATAACCATAATGTTACGTTAGAAGATGACACTGTTTCTCTAGCAGAAACAAGAATAACTGAAGCAACCATGAACATACTTCTTGCCGCAACTAATGATCATATTCAGATTGAAGTCGCTGATCCACAAGCATTCAATCCTACATTTATAAAACAACGTCAACAGGCAATTGACAATACTATTTATCGATCAACTATCAAATCATGGCATCCAAATTCACTTCAACAGCTTATCGAGAATATCAAAGTTTTATCGAACAGCAAATCACGATTGGATCATTATTGGATTGTTTTCTATTGGATTGCATTAAATGTCGAATATGATACAGTATCATATTTCAGCAAAGATTATGCAGATCAATCAGCTGAAGGAGTATTTCGAACAAAAAAAGGTGTATGCGCCGGTTATAGCAATTTATTCAAGTATTTATGTGATAATTTGGGTATTCCATGTGAAGTGATAAGTGGATATGCTAAAGGATATGGGTTCGATCATCATGAAAGTAAATTTTCTGATAAAGATCATGCATGGAATGCTGTTGAAATTGGCCAACATTGGTATTTGATCGATTCGACATGGGGTGCTGGACACCTGAATGAAGAGAAAGTCTTTAAGCGTGATTTGAATCTGTATTACTTCTTTTCACGTCCGAATGAAATGATCTATCATCATTTACCAGAAGAGGAAAAATGGCAATTACTACGGCAACCAATCGCAATGACTCAATATATACAGATGCCAAAAGTTTATCCAGCTTATTTTGAACTTAATCTTGAATTGGTTAGTCCGCGTCATCAAGCTCATGTTAATCTTCTTCCTGATAAATCCTATGCATTGGTTTTAATACGAGCACCATTTGATGTAGAACTGAGTGCATACCTAGAATTATCCGGTAAAAAAATCGATGGTGGTCATCGAATTATATTCGACCATGAAAAGCAACTTCATCTTTGCTATTTTGCTCCAGATAATACCGGTAAGCATAAAATAACAATATTTGGACAACAAAACGACACGGTGAAGAAATCTAGCAAAGCAGTTCTTTGTTTATCATTTAATGTCGATGAGATGCCAAAGAATTCAATGAGTTTTCCGAAAACATGGAAAGAATTTTATGATTTAAATTTACAAATTCTTTCACCAAAAAATACTCATTTGATCAAAATAGATAATGGAATTCAACA